AGTGTAAAAAAATCGCGTGTTTTGCAATATTTGAGAAGCTCTAGCAAGAAAAGACAAAAGCTGATACAATCTTCCACTTATCCATTCCTGAAAAAACCATCCCTGCACCTTGTCCCGATGCTCACTTATTTATAAGCCATATATTTAACATACGCCGCATAATTTTTTTTTCAATTTTTGTTTGCCTGCGTTATTGATTTATTCGAAATAGCAATGAGTGCCATTATTTATGGAACACGATTTCATTCATGTAGCTGCTGTTAACCCAGTTTTCCAAGACCTTGGTGACGGATTCCGACTCTATTTGACGAATAGATTGCACGTTATTCGCCGTAAGGGCCTGAGTCGTGAATGGATTGTTCGCATAACATCGGTCCTTCGCAAAAACAACGTCTAACGGAGGCAATTCGCTATGGTTATGTTTATGGTGATGTAAGGGTAGGGCCCCAGGCCAATTACACTGCGACCAGGTTTGATCAATTGTGCCCCTTATTTTAACTTGAGATCTTTAAGAACTTAAGTAACCCCTGCTGCGAAATCTGCATTGGGTCGATATCGCTGAGCGTATAGTTGCTTAACCCTGGAAGCGCTTCGCTCTTTTCACCCTGTTTCCGGGATTCTTAGTCGCATCGACTAACATCAACTTCGAATTTAAGTAACAAACAAACAACATTTAAAAAGGAAAATACATTTTGTCTCTGCGGTGAGCTAGTGTTAGGCAGCTGGTTCACTACTTCCTCTTCTTCACCACAGAACCTGCAAGTGTCTGTTCTACAGAGGCTAAGCATGTACATACATGTGTTTGTTACACAGGCCACTGCCTGTTAGTGTTCCATACAGTGTTTTCAGGTGTTTCTTACCTAGCATGAGCGCAAATTGAGCTCTTTTGTCCCTGTAGCGAAGGAACTTCTTTGAGTGATGGTACCCTCTAACTTGTCCTATTTGTACCGAATCCCAGAAAAGCGCTAAGCCCAACACAAGGTGTGTCTGTCCCATTTTTAGCTTGGAAATTCGCTTTTTCATTGCCATTACATCCCCCATCACCAGGGTCCCAGATTAAGGAGACCCTCCTTAGGGGGCTAGATCATTGAGCATTCTGTAGCACTCTGTAAGGTTTTTTAAAAACGAGTTGCTATCTAGAGCTTAAAGTATGGTGGTTTTTTTTTCTGGCATTTTATCTGT